ACTTTCCCAATGGAAAGGCCCTGTCTTTAATATCTGTTTACCAATGTAGAATAAGAGAAAAATAATGGATAGGGAAACAAAAGTTTGAAACTTTTAAATTTTACAGAAATAACTTTATACTTAGAAGAGTTTGGAACACTGTGTTAGTCCACTTGCCTCACTATATTTGTCTCTGATCATAAGCATCAATCATCAATCATCACAAACCTTCAGTGCTTGGAGGTCAATGTTGATTTTGTACAACCTGATTGTGTGCAAGCTTTTCCGGGACCCCAGGCAGAACTAACTGGCAGATCTGGTAGTGGGAATAAGTCAGTGCTTCTGTGGCAAAGTTGTAATTAACACCTTCCTCAGGAGCTAGAATTACAGATGTGGTCTACTGGCACCTGATGCAAGTAATATTTCTTAAGACTTAATTTACAGCCTTGCATCTGGCCATTTTTACAAATATTTTATTGTTTCTAAATAGTTTATTGTATCCTTACTAATTGGTAGGTGAGAGTTTACCAATATATCTTTCATTAAATGCATAGTAGTAATATTGTTCAAGTCAAATGCCATTAGTTTTTACTTGACATATAAAAATTAATTTTGTTTCCACAGTTTGATTAAATGATCTCAATTTTTCCCCAGTTTTTCACTAATCATTTTAAGTGAATGTATAAATTTAAACCTAGTAAGTTTATTTATCTTGTGTTAAGCAACTGAGGACTTTCTGACTAAGGCTACTTGTCCTATGGCTTTTGCCAGTTTTTATTCCCATAACTTTTTAGGTAGAAATTAAGTTGCATACTCTCAGAATGCAAAACTTAGGTTGTTTTTCTTTTCTTTTGTTGTTTTGTTTTTAGTTTTGAAACATTTTAATTTTTTTGTATTTGTATAGGTCTCATTTTTATATAACTTAGTTGATGCTTTCTAAAGCAACTTCCAGTAGGCTTACAAAATAAACTTTGGGCCATTCAAAATACAAAAAGAGGAAGTTTCAAGGAGTTGTCATTTTGATCATATCAATTATCTCTTATAGTAGCAGGTCAATAATTGCAGTATAGTATAATAAGAAAACTCATTCATGTATTTTATTATATTTTTTTCTGGTAGCTTCCTTTACGTTATCAGTTTTCTTTATCTAGTACCATGTATCTTGAAGCATAACTTCTAGTTTATATTTCATTTTCTTTTGCTCTTTCCTCTGCACTATTAGTGACTGCTTATTTTTTTCATTCTGTTGTCATTTTTGTTGAAACTGATGTTTCATATATCCCATAGTGTGTATGTGTGTGAGTGTGTGTGTGTGTGTGTGTGTGCACCAGTCCTGAGGTTTTGATACAAGGCCTGAGTGTTTCAGGCTCACATTCTATCACTTGAGGCAAAGATTCACTTCTGAATTTTTAGTGGCTAGTTGGAGATAAGTGTCTCAGAGAATTTGCTGGCGGAGCTGGCTTTAAACCATGATCTTCTGATCTCAATCTCAGTAGTAGCTAGGATTACAGGCCTAAGCTACTAGCTCCAGGCTGCCATAGTATTTTTTATTTTATTTTTTTAATCTCTTTAATTTTCAGGTGACATAGTTTGCCTTTATTTTCAATTTTCAGAAGTCATTCAAGATTTTTTTGTTAAATAATGAGAGTAAAATTATGCAAAAATGTAATTAATTTATAAATTTTAAAAAAGTCATATCTCTTTAATTTTATCAAAGGATTAATAGCAGTTCCGGTTCAAATTTTGGCACATTTTTATAAGATTAACTGTTGATATTCATATATGCTGTTTTGAAATATTAATGGATATAGAAATTTGGAAAACCATCTTGAACATCCAAGCACATGCACAAACATGTAAATGATATAGAAAGTTTGTTCTTACAGTTCAACACCTATACTTACAAACAAAATTTCTAACTTTTGAGCACCAAATAAAGCATGCAAATACATAACTATACTAATCAGAATCATCCATATCTGAAGTAACTATTACAATGGTTTGATTAATGTACAATATATTTAAATACACTTGATTTTAGCTATTTGTGTAAATTTTTCTGTGAAATCTGCACTATCATAGAACTTCTTTTTGAGGAAGTAGAAGACAAGGTTTCCATAAGCTTCAGGTCATAAGTTTTACTCAATTGATTAAAGTAAATGTGTCATATATATGTTTTTTTTTTTTTTTGTCGGTCGTGGGGCTTGAACTCTGGGCCTGGGCGCTGTCCCTCAGCTCTTCAGCTCAAGGCCAGCGCTCTACTACTTGAGCCACAGCGCCACTTCCGGTTTTCTGGTGGTTTATTGGAGATAGGAGCCTCATGGTCTCTCCTGCCCGGGCTGGCTTTGAACCGCGATCCTCAGATCTCAGCCTCCTGAGTAGCTAGGATTACAGGCGTGAGCCACCAGCGCCCGGCCATATATATGTTTATATTCAATTTGAAGGCATGTTATTTAAAATCTATTGTTGATTTATGAATATTTAACTCCTAGGCAAAAATGGAATAACATGTGCCTGACTCCAACTTCCCTCAGACTTCATAATCTGTAAAAAGGTAGAATTTCTACACTTGAGGATTATTTTAAGCAGCAAAAAATACCAAGAAGAAGTTATAAAAGTACTTCAGCTAGGAAGATGTTTGTCCAGCAACAAGTTTTTATTGTTCTGCAAATATTCATGAATTATTCTAAATTGCCTTGACTATTGCTTCTTGTCAGTAATTTTATACAAGTTGATGAATATGCAATCTATGTCTTGTAGAAATAAAAAATACTAATATTAACACAAGATATATGAAATAAGAAAATTTGCCATCACAATGTGGGCTATAGATGGACAGAGTCAAATAATGATTGTTGCACATTTCAATGTTTCAAAATTTATCAATATTTGCATATGGTGATAAAATATGCATCACTATTATTTTTAGATAGGTAGCATTGAAATGAGTAACATACATTATTTAAACAGTAAGATCTTAAGGATAATCTACTAAAATAATGCCCAATGTACAAAATTTAAGTGATAAGCTAAGTTGAACAATCTGCATGATTGTGATTATATCAGAATGTACCAGAACATAATTTATGTGATTTAACAATGTACTAAGTCTTATGCATTTTCTAGTATTTCAAAGGTATAATAAGCATTTACTTAAAAATGCACTTTATGGGATCATTACATAGCATTTGAACCTTTTATTATCAATACTTTTATTAATTTTAGATTTGACTTCATTTTCTGGAGGTGGAAGTCTATGAATAATAATTGATGTTAGTTTTTCCCACTTTCACATATCTAATAGGTGATATCTATTCAGTAGCTGTAAGTCTCAGTTTAAACTGAGCTTAAACACCTGTCTTATTATACTTGAGACATATATCTAATTTTATACTTCTGGCAAGGAGCTTGATGTTTTTGAACTATATGTCTATAATTTTCACTGGCCTATTTTGTGATAAAATCGAACTGAAACAAACCCAGTCAGAAACCACTAGCCTCAAAATCTAATTCCAAATAGATGAAATATACAATAATATTTATCATTATGATAGATGTGTGAACATAAAAACTGAACACATATGAGGACAATTTAAATATGAGGCTCTTGGCATTTTTTTTGGTAGAATAAATATTCATACTTTTATCTTCATTGCTCTGATCAGTCTTACAATAAAAACTGAAATATTAGATTCATTAGGAAAGTTTTAACATCACAGGGACCAGAGCAGAAGCTTTTATTATTTTAATAAGATACCTAACACACATTTTAACCAGTAATAAATAAATGATAAAATGGGTAGAAGAATGATGATGAGTGAATGAATGCATGAATTCCTAAGAAGTTGATAAATAAAAGACTCAACTTCAAATTTCTTTGTACTTTCTGAAGTTTAGTCAGGAATCAGGATCAGACGACCAATTTCAAACAATATTGACTCAAAACATTTTCTGCAAATGTAAGAAATGGAATGGCTTGGTTCCACTTTCTCTGAGAAACTTTCATATATTTACTTCTGATTGTGTAATGATATTAGACACATCTTCTTTTGGAAAAGGCCTTATACTTGTCGGCAAGCACAGTGTTGCTGTTCTAACTCTCCAGCTGTTATACACTAGGTTTTTTTTTTTTTTTTTTTTTAGGTTAAGGTCCAAATTTCGTCTGGGCTATATACCTGAGCTGCAAGTAGGCTTTATTAAGGCTAATCGTAGTCTCTGGAGTCACAGATGCATGCTATTTGAATTCAGTTTTCTAGTTGGCCTGGCACCACAATAGTCCTAATAGCTTCCCATATATGGCGAGCATGTGCCACTGTAATTTCATATCATTTGAGAAAGGATCCTGAATACTTTTCTTCCTGGGCTAGGTTTTAAACCATTATCTTGTTCTCAGCTTTCCAAGTAGCTAGGCTTATATGAGAGAGCCATTCTTGGTGCTTGGCTCTTAGGAATATCTTAAATGCACTCTGACTGGACCATTTCTTTCTTGGAACAGAAGAATTAAGTGCAAAGTTGAGTTTTGTACATAAGTAATCATGTTAAAATGTAATCAATACAAATATCATTTAAATTTCACTTTCAAAAGTAGCAATTATTCCTACCTGAACTACTTTCTGGGACTGTACATCAACAATCAGGACTCTGTCCAAAGTTGGCTGAGCAACATAAATGAACTTGTCTTTGATGTTAACAGCTGAGGCCCACACACACCTTGGAACCTCATCATTCTCCAGTTTGGGACACACTTCATCCTGAAATTTAAGAAATAGAAAATAAATTAATCTATTACATTGAGATGTAAGTGTTAAGCCGGGCGCTGGTGGCTCACGCCTTTAATCCTAGCTACTCAGGAGGCTGAGATCTGAGGATCGTGGTTCAAAGCCAGCCAGGGCAGGAGAGACCGTGAGACTCCTATCTCCAATAAACCACCAGAAAACCGGAAGCGGCACTGTGGCTCAAGTGGTAGAGCGCTGGCCTTGAGCTGAAGAGCTGAGGGACAGCACCCAGGCCCAGAGTTCAAGCCCCACAACCGACAAAAAAAAAAAAAAAGATGTAAGTGTTACAATATAATAGGTAAAATTAATGCTTGGTGCTTTATTATGTTTTATCAAATATTATATATGTGTCTATATCAAATTATATATATATAGTTAAATAAGACAGTATGGGAAGTCGACTTATCCATATTAAACTACATTAAATATTATTGAAAATCAATATGGATAAAATTCTTGAAAGATAAAATTCAGGTCCCTAAATTATAATTTACTGATGAAATGCAGTCTTTTCACTTTTTTCAACCAGTTCATTTTCAACTACTACATTTTACTTCAAACTGTCCAGCATCTTTAATAGAAAAAAAGTTACATAAGAATATGTCCAGAACTTTTCAAAGCATTAGTAGCAGACCCCATGACACAGGAATGGTTTGGTTAAAAGTCACCAAATCCTCTGAAAATTATAGCTGTCTTACACTTTTGATGACTCAAAAGTAGTGGGATCCTATAGAAAAGTTGCTCACAGTGGTTATTTTATTTTTCAATTTGTTATCAAGGTCAAATTTTATGAAATATTTTAATCAGCCTGAAGATTTTTACCTTGCTCCTTTATCTTAGAACTGCTATTTATTGTGTAGTCTATGTCAGATGGTCTATAAGACTTCTGTTTCCTTCCTTGCTCCCTCTTGCAATAAATGCCTGTTGAAGGGACTTACAAGGTTTTGTGATTCATGTTGGAAAAAATTATAATTAAAAGAACATGAAAAGTACCACTTAAGATCATGGTTTATATTTTACTGTTTTTGTTTTGTTCACTAATATTCTTTGTTTGTTAATTAGAAAAGACACTAAGAAAACAGATTTATTTAGCTCTACATAAATTTAACAGTGTATGTAAATAGGCGTTTATCTAATAATATAATGATTTGTAATTACCTCATTGTTCAGTTTGATTTGTTTTAAGTCTGATTATTAATTCTAATATTTATTTTCTTTGATTTTCACATTAACTATTGCTTCAAGATAAATTAGCATAATTCACTTCTACTTTTCATATTAAAACATTATTAGTTCAATGGAGGTCCTATTTACTATGTGTGCTTAATAAAAATGACACAAAATCAATAACATTTTCATTATCAACATCACTAACCATTCACTTTTTTAGTTAAAGATGTTATCAATATGTCATACTATATTTGACATTACATAGTATTTATATTGAATGTACTTCTCGGGCTGGACAGCCATGATAGATGGCTTTCCTGTTGGCATTCAGTTTTGGAAAACAGTTTAAACAAAAGAATATTTGAAATGAAATAGCTGTGATCTGGTATTTACACTTTTCTATATCAGATCTTTTTCAATGAGAAGACCTGGAAACATCCATTGAATTCTAAGGTGTCTTTCAGGACTGTGAGATTTACATCACATCACTGGTCTTTCTTTTTACTTACTTATTTTTATTTTTTTGCTTAAAATAATAAATGTGTCTTATTATCATATTTTCTGTGAATCAGAAGATATTAAACAGTCTTTTTAAACAAAGCAATTAGAAAATATTATACAAAAAGATCTGACTGTGATGTGTACACACATGGGTTTCCTGTCCCTGATTAGATTCACCCTGTGTCACTCATCATCATCCTCCTTTTAAAAATAATTTCAGCAGTTTTCAGTTCTATTTTCACACATGTGGATGAAATAGTCCATCCTCACCCTCTCTTTTTTTCTTTCTTCCTTTGCATGGGTACCCAATCACAAACAGAATCTGTTTTATATACTTGTTATTTATTTTTACGGACTAGATTCTTCATATAAGAAATTATGTAGTATTTGCTTTTCTCAGTCTGGCTCATTTCACTTAGCATGTGGATCTCTGCCATATTCCTGAAGATGGCATAATTTAATTTTCCATTATGGCTCAATATATGCTGTTGACAATTCTGTTCCTTAGAAAGAACAGCAAAATCCCTGAATTCTAAGCCCTCATTGTGGGAAATGATTCAGCTTACTCTGGAGTTATGAAATGAGCTCCATGCCAATTAGGGATCCCCATGGCAGCCGTAGGAGACAGAAAACCTCCTTAGGCAACTGCTAAGAACACAGAATAGTCCTGAAATTTCATTGGCCACTTCCCACTGAAACTATTTTGCAATGGCAACTTTTCCTTAGAAGCCAGCCGAATGACTTCAAAAGGAGTCTGTTGTCTCAGAAAAAAAAAAAAAAAGAAAAACAACTATAGAAAATCTGCACTTGAGAAGCATGAACAGGTGAGAAAAAAGTAAGATTTGTGGTTGATGACAGGCTCTGAATTTGTTTACAAGTTCTTGCTGTTGCATAAAATCTCCTGACTATACCTGACAAAATAGTGAAAAGTGTGAATGACCCACAGTAGCTGTCAAATAGACAACCACTGAACCAGGAAATATTTCCACCCCTATTTTTGCTACAAAACTATTCAAACATAAAATAAACTTGTCTGCAGGAAATTATTTTGCATTTCTATACTGCCCTCCTAAGACATTTCTGATCAGACTTAGAATCCCTTTTACGAAACCATTGAAAGTTTTCTGACATTCACTCAAAATATCCTTTGCTTTGCTTTAAGTTGATGGCCTATTAAGTCTCATTTTATACTAGCTCTCTTATTTTTTAAAAAATGAACACCAAGATAAGTATTCAAATGTTATTTTTTCTTTCATGCGACTTTTTCGAACATATTTATAAGATGATTTTTGTTGCTTTGTATGTCCCTCCCCTACAGTATAAGCCCTGCTTTCACTGTATTTGATATTGGCATAATTTGTGGAGGGGAAGGGAAAAAAACACATCATTTAAATAGGGATACCGGTGGACCCATTGCAACAATGAGATGTACAAGTCGTTATGTCAAAAATGAACTTTACAACTTTGGTGGGAGGGTGGGGGAGGACTGAGAGATGGGAAGGGATGGGAAGGGGAAACAAGGAGGAGGTAATATTGCTTGATAAGAAATGTACTCATTATCTTGCCATGTAATTTGTAACCCCTCTGTAAGGTATTTTCACAATTAAAAAAAAATCACAGACCAGATAAGATGATGTTAAGCAAAATGAACCCCAAGATAGGGACCCAAGTGTTTTTTTCTTTCTTGCTATTGTTTCTAATGTATTTATAATGAACCACATGACTTTTTCCCTTTGGATGTTCCTCCCCCATGGTATAACCCCTGTTTTCACTGTATTTGATGTCGGTGCCCTGCATCTTGTATATACACTTCTCTAGCTTGGGGACGGGAAGGGAAAAAGCAAAATGCTTAAATAAGGATACAGGTTGACCCATTGTAACAATAAGATGTACAAGACACTATGTTGAAAAGGAACTTTACAATTTAGGCAGGGAGGGAGGAGGGGGAATTGGGGGAATGTAGTTGTGGAGGGGGAGGGAAGAGAGGGTAGGGAAAAACAGAGGAGGTAACAATGCTCGACAGGAAATGTACTCATTACTTTGCTCATGTAACTGTAACCCCTCTGTACAGTATATTTACAGTAAAAACGTATTTAAAAATATTTATTTCTGTGGGTAGTAATTGTAGAGAAATGTTCACATGCATCATGAATCTACGGAGAAAATTGAAGACATACACTACTGGAGATAAAAAATGAGATTAATATAATACATACTAATGAGAATCAGCGTCAACAATAATAAGACAATAATCCTAAGGCCGATTTAGAAAGTATTTCCACTGGATCATTTCCATGCAAAATCAGATATTAACAGCTCCAAAATTATAATGGACTCCAAGGGATATTACCATTGATGGTGCAACTGAAATTTTCGATTAAAATAGTAGCAATTTTAGCTGAATTGTAAAACCTAATTAAGACATAGAGAGTTATTCACTTGTCCTCTAGTAGAGCTTTGCCATTCTGATTTATTTTTTATACTGACTGCCCATTAAAATGCTTTGCCCTCAGTTCTCCAAATTACAGTATTTTCTTCCTCGTCCTATTCATACCTCTCAGAGCACATCCTGCAGCCACAAAACTATAAATGCTATTTATATTTACATCTCTACTTTCCTTACATTCACAGTGACCATCCCTCAATCTTTTAATGACTCTTTCTAATTGTACAAATACTCATGATTCTCTGCTCTCAGAAAGATGACTTTGTTATGCATTCAAGAAGCCAAACATGAACCTTGTTATCAACTTAAGAAAAAAAAGTATTGCCGGGTGCTGGTGACTCACGCTTGTAATCCTAGATACTCAGGAGGCTGAAATCTGAGGATCGCGGTTCAAAGCCAGCCAGGGCAGGAGAGACCGTGAGACTCCTATCTCCAATAAACCACTAGAAAACTGGAAGTGGCGCTGTATCCCAAATGGTAGAGCGCTCCCCTTGAGCTGAAGAGCTGAGGGACAGCGCCCAGGCCCAGAGTTCAAGCCCCAAGACCGACAAAAAAAAAAAAGTATTAAACAACTTTAACTGCAGTTCATCTGTTTTCTCTTCCTGTCATGGCCTAATTTTCTTCAGAATTTTGAAATGCTTTCTAGAAACTTTTGTGCTGTTTTCTGATTTCCACTCTAAACTGATCATACTTCACACTGGAATTTGTTATAACATCTCTTTTAGAACAGATGTTCCAAGTCATCAGCAGTCTCAGAATGTATAAGTATGCACCAATTAGGATTCTCCAAAACTATGTTTGGAAATAAAGCATGACTAGAGCAGGGTGCCTCTTTGCTCTATCAGTTGCCCATTAATGA